ACATTGACGATCTCTTGTTGGCCACCTCTGCCGTCAAGGAACAAATGGAATATCTCACAAGTGTGCTTAACCATCTTCAACAGTTTGGCCTTGTTCTCAACCCGTTCAAGTGTGTCTTTGGTGTGCCTTCCCTTGAATTTCTTGGACACCTGGTTGACTCTCATGGCATTCATCCTCTGCCGGCAAAAGTTGCAGCCATCCGCGATTTCCCGCCTCCTTCTTAAAAGCGTCAATTTCAGTGTTTTCTGGGCATGGTGAACTTCTATTGCCGGCTTCTCCCAAACTGTGCTGATACCATTCTGCCGCTTATGAATCTTTTTTCTAATTCCAAACGTTCCTTTAGGCTAGCCGCAGACGCCCTCGCTGCTTTTGATAAGGTGAAGGCTGCAGTGGCCGATGCCACACTCTTGATGCATTTTGTTCCGATGCGCCTCTCTCCCTCGTGGTCGACGCCTCCAATGTTGCAGTAGGTACGGTTCTTCAGCAGCACGTTGCGGGTCAAACTCAATCCTTAGCTTTTTTCTCCAAGAAGTTAACGATTGCCGAATCGCGCTACAGCACGTTTAAAAGGGAGCTTTTGACTGTCTGGATAGCTTGCCGTGAAGCACTTCCGGCACTTCCTCAAGGGCAGAGACTTCGTCGTTTTCTCTGACCATAAACCACTACCCTACGCCCTAAAGTTACACTCTGACAAGCTGAACCCACGGGAGCTTCGACAACTGGACCACATTTCGTAGTTCACCTCAGACATCCGCCACATCGGTGGGTCACGCGATGACTTGGCTAACACATTGTCCAGACCTTCCATCGCCCATCTGCAACTGACTCCCGGGATCGACCTGACTGTCATAGCGGCCGAAAAACGCCGTGTTGGTTCACTCTGTGACGAGGACGTTTCCGGAATCCAACTGCAGGAAATACCACTGACTACTGGCAACGGCACCATCCTGTGTGACGTCTCCACTGCCTCCCATCGTCCATTCGCACCACCATCCCTTCGCCGCACAGTTTTCTCCTCCCCGCACAACCTATCTCACCTTGGGAGTCGAGCAACCGACAAGTAGGCCTCTGGTTGCTTCGTTTGGCCTGGGATGCACAAGGACATCAAATCTTGGGCACGGGCTTGCCTGAGCTGTCAACGAAGCAAGGTCCGCCGGCACAAAAAGGCACCCATTGGCATCTTCCCCAACCCTGGTACAAGTTTCTGTCCCATCCACTTGGACATCTTAGGCCCCCT